CCACGCGCCCAGATCCCCTACCTTGCTTGAAATTATCCACACTTTTCACGAAAGCTGTTTGTTTGTTACCTCTGGCCTGGTGGACTATTCTGGCTTTCCTGGTTGACTTGCCAATATGGCACGCAATCACCTTAAATGGCAGCGATGCCTCATTCCCTTACTGCCACTCGAAAATGACAGGTTGCCACACGACCTGTTCAGTGGCTTTCCGGAAACGATCGGTCGCTCGATCATCAACCCAACACGATGCCGCGACGGGCGATTGCTACGACAAACCAGAATGTCGCGTTCCTAAAGCACCTTGCCGACCGCGAGAACAAGAATAGAGATGCCGAACGGCCGGAACCTTTGTCGGCCGAGCAACATGCTTCTCTCCGCAACAAGCTCAAGGATGTTGACTTCATCCGACCAAAGCTATCGCAGGAGACTGAAATCAACATTGGGGGGATCTTGGGAAAGTGGAAGCGGTACGTCGTCTAGCGGGCATTGGTTTTCAACGACTAAAGTTGCTGGGGCTAGGTATTGCGCCGATCAGAAACTCGGTGGGTGGAGAGAGGCCCTTGATAGCCTTACCCGAGAGACGACGATGAGTTTTTTTCTATACGTTGGCGAGCGGTCAAACCTTCGCTCTTCGGGGTCCTCGAGAGTGTACATCCGCCAATTCCAGCAGCTATACACCACTGCCACTGGCCACTACATGGACCGTAACGATGTGAAAGAAGTGTATAAGGTATGTGGTGGCCGCGCCTGGCCCATCTGCTCTAATACCTGCCCTAACCACGTCTACTCCAGTTTCACGACCGCGTCATCGTCCCCCGTTTCAACTTGAGAGCACCGAACACAGATGGGAAGCCAGTCCTTGGCGTGGAAGACCTCCGAGCTATTCTAACCTTCAATATCGCTTACGACATGGGCATCTTCCAGCTCGAACGGCAGCGCGTCCAACTGGCCGGATGCTATCAGATTCTGTGCTATACAGGAGCACGGCCTGGCGAGCTCGTTCAGAACGAGAGAAAAAAACCCCAAGATGGGTCCGTAGATGAACTCTTCAAAACCCGAGGCCTCGAATCGACAAACGCTAGGCACCACAACAGCCCGAAGAGTATCGAGGGTGACGACGAGGTGGGAGCCGAGGATGAGGACTCGCTGCTGCTCAACGGGCTTCTGCTCCAGGAGACTGTCGGTCGCGGTCGCCCAAAGGCTTTGTGCTACGAGGATATCCTACTCATGATCGTTCGGCACCCTGTGACAGGTGCACCCACACCAGCAATGGCGATTAAGTTCGTTCATCACAAGGGAGCAGACAACAAACCGAAGCCGTATGTTGACGACCTGCCGTGCGCATGCCGAGGGCTGACAAGCTACAGGACTATTTTCTATTTCACTCCGGCCAAGAAGCTCATCTTCTGTGCGGTCAGCACCATCATTGCTCTGGCTCTTCACGACCACGCCTTCGACGCCGCGAGTTTGACGTCCGCATCCCGGATACTACGAGCCCAGATACGAGGTCCTACCCAGTGTACCCCGCTACGTTGGAAGGCATCTATGCTCAAGACTCCCGTCTTTCGACGCATTCATGGCACACAGCTGGCGGCGGACGAGGCCATGCCATACTCTAAGTTACGGGATGATATGGGCCGGCAAAGTCTTGACGCTGGCTTTGAGAAGCGTTGGACTCCGCGCTTTGCACGAAGAGGAGCAGCGAATGCGGCGAACGGTTGGTCAAGCTACAATCCATCTGTTGTAACCCAACTGACGGGTAATCCTAGGAAATGCTCCCGACGCCGTGCGTGATCAGATGATGCGCCACGATCCCAAATTTGCAACCTTCCACAATGCCTATATCAATCAGAATGTCAACTTCGACCTGCAGAATACATTTCTAGAGGAGGATGCTGAAAACCAGATGTACAAACTATTCGCGCACGTCAGCCTAACACGCGACCCTCGCGCCACAAGCAACATGGTTCCTGTGGAACTTTGGAACGACTTGGAACCCGATCGCGCCATTGTCAAAATGCAGCGACGCCGGGCAGAACTCAAAGACGGCCGATATCGCATAAAAGGTAAGGATAAAGAGGCTGAGATCCGCATGCTCACCAACCAAATCCGCTTGATGGAAGCTCGACGCGATTCACACATCGTCAAGGAATATCGCGATTACTATTTCCACAACCGTCCTACATGGGACATCGAGGCACAAGCCCGTGGCGAAGAGCAAGAAGAGTATGTGGAGCCGGAAATCGACCTACGGATTCCCGAGCGTAGGCGTCTCGCCGAGATTTTGTGCCATCAGTCCGATGATTGGACGCAGGACGATGTGTTACAGCAAAGGATCGAGGCCATAGACCTAATGGTGGTCTTATGCGACAAGAGAGAATCAGCCAAACGGAATCGCCTCCGGCCACGGGCTCGCGCGGAACCACCTGTTGCAGAAGATGTCCACCCGCCGATGACGGTTCCCCTTGTTTTGAATGCGAAACAATGTCCTGTCTGCGTTGGCGACGAGCGGCTTCCTTTGGAAGAGCGGACTTTCAAGTACTGCCGGACAACAGTCAGGAATGATCATTTTGATGACCAGCACCTTGAGGAACGAGAGCGCACTGTGACAAACGGCGGGGTTATCCGATGCAACCATCCTCAGTGTCGGGATGAGCCACGCTTCCAAAAAATGGAATCGCTAGATGCTTTCCGGAATCATGTGCGGGTCAAGCATGGGGTTTCACTCAGGACTACAGTCCAGGTTGCGCAAAGACGCGAGGACAAAGCACGCCATAGACGAATGAGACAAGGGTTTGTTTGAGAATTAGTCCAATAGTGAATACACACTGGAGTAATTAGACGGTACTAAAACGAATTGTTCAATCAGAAGCTTGACCGCGCCATTCGTGAGAACTAAACCTTAGCAATACTATAGCACTCTTACGGCGAATAGAATCCATGGCCATAAACTATTCATTATGAATCGACCCCTGGGACATAGAAGAGAGCACCATGGTGAGCCACTAAGTTAGCGATCATTGTCTCATCGTGGTGACAAGAAGTGCGTCATCGGCACGAGATCAGTTCTACCACCTCCACTAGTGATCCTTGCTCACAATCTGCAACCCCACAGATTTGATGATTCTGCCGTCTCCACATTACTGGTGGGCTCTCTTACTTTTCTGCCGTCAGCCCTCTTCCCTCTTTCAGCGATTTTGCCAGCTCCAGTTTAATTCTGCCAGCTCCAGGGGATTCTACCAGTCATCGTGGAGTTTTAGATGAGTTCTGCCACCTCAGCCACCTCAGCTTCTTTCTTTCGTCCAATTTAGAAATTTTACCGAAGTTTTCTGCCGCCCCCCAATTTCACCCAATAGAGTTCTGCCACCCAGAGCCCATTTGGGTTTCTGCCGTGTTTTCTGCCGTCCCACCATCTGTCTGCTTGCAGTATCTGTTGTTCGTCGTTGGGCCACGATGTGAGGCCTGTGATGTTGGTTTAATGCAGTACTGTCCCCCTGAGGTACATTCATCGAATGAAAACCATTGGGTCTTATTTATTAGGGAAGGGTGAGAGAGTTTTCGCCCAGCTAAGTTTGAGCCGGGTTTTATCTCGTATCTACCCATTGTCACTGGTTCTTACATACTGTGCAATGTAATCCATCATGGCATCCCTCTGACGCGATTGTCAATCCGGCATTATGGTCTGTCGCCGGCTAGACGGAAGTTCTGTCCCTCATCACGCCAACCTCAAAGGGGTCCCTGTGACAGACGCGGTCGACTCAAGGACAGTGTTCAAATGCTGAACAGTGTGGGAAGGAAAGTAGATCAGCCAATAGGATGGGCCTAGCTACGTCGCTGAGCGACCAACCCATTTGGTAGAAAGCGTCCAAGGAAAAGAAGCGACATTCGTATGAGCCACGTGCGCCTTGCAGCAAGGCCGTGTAGAGGTCTATTGACGCACGAGCCACATG